CTTTAACTAGTGAGTTAAAACTGGGGAAAACTGCTGATGTGCACTCTCTGAGGGTAAACCAAAGCTAAGTTGCTTTCAAATGTTGTCTACAGGTACTTTCTGAAGGATATTTGAATTGTAAACTTTGACTGTACAAAGAACCTGAGGTATTCAGGCTTCCAGCTGATTGCTCATTTGGACACCTGGATTTATGCAGTCACAGTATCAAAAATGATGTGTACATGTAAGTGTCTGCAACACTGACTTGATTTGCCAAGGTGTTTGGATCCTTTTATAGTAAAAGTAAATCAATGTTGTTACTGCAAAAATCGTTAACTTTTGCAGTATTTTATATCCAGACAGGTAATGTCTACACCAGCTGTCAAACAGTATTGGTGGTAATAAAGAATAATACCAATAACAATAACAATAATAATTCATAAGTTTGAAATTACTCTTTAATATTCATATTTCAATTCTGATTCCTTCTGTGTCCATGAGTTTGCCAAAAGGAACACAGTCCATCCAGCAGGCACTGAATTAAATACCGTGCATTTCAATCTGCTGCAGCAAAGTAGTTTGCTCCAATTCATTTCTGCAGAAAGTCCAAGAAATACACCAGCTCAAGCATAAACTCTGAGCAATCCTATTCCTTCCTGCCTGCTTCTCAGAAATTTCCAATCCTTGAACAGTTTCTTGGCCTTTTTTATAAACATGGTAACATTTATTCACCTAACTCATGTATGGACAAGCTGTGTCAGCCCAAGAACTGCATGAAGCTTCCAATAACAGGAATGGGTAATTTCATAGATTTTACCAGGCCCATTCCTTGTTTCCCTTACACTGGTTTGACTTCAGAACTGCAGGGTTTTCACCAGAGCTATCCATAGTTCAGGAAAGAAGATTTGGAATTCTGAACTTTCTGTTGTTGCAGAGAGGCCTAAAAAGAGCATATCCCAGTTTACCCAGAAAGTGCAACCCAGAACTTCCCACTACACTCTTCCATTGAGCCTTCCTTACCTGTTTCCATAGCATACATTAAATCAGGTATGTCCTAGGAAAAGACATGGCCCTGCAGCTGGGCCTACCTGCACTGCTGCTTATGGAGCCTGAATTAGACTGCATGCACACCTAATTAAATCTCAGACCCAGCTGGGCCAACAGCAGTTTGGCCATTGTTTTTTTTAATGCATTTGGCTTTGGCCCACACTCCACAAGGCTGCAGTATGAGCTTCAGAGAACCACTGTGACATGCTTTTCCTGTCTTTTGACAATACAAGGTGTGGATGTCAGAAAGGGCAGAACAGATCTCAAGACTGGCAATTTGGAAGGGCAGGGCTAATCCCATGCCAGGCAGTTCAGAGAGTGTTGGTGAGAAAGCAGATCCCAGTGAGAGGTTTCTTGTCCAGCCATGCCTTGTCCAGCCATACACATTAATAGCAGCTCCAGCTGCAGAAAATTTCCCTAATTAATCAGCTAAGTTCCATGACATGCTTCCTGATAGGTTACAACCTCTAAGCATTAACAGCTCAGTACACACCTACTGAACACCTCGGAGTTTGTCCATTTGCTCTAACACATGGACATGAACAAATGGACTTCTCTCTTCAGAAAAACAATAATCTGATAGCTTATAGCAATTGGGTGGTGGCCAGAAAGGAAACTCACAGATTTTATTATTCCCAATGGAGTCATATGGCATGGAACATATTTTTAAAATAGCTTTATTCCCACTAATTTTACTTCCATACCAGCATTTCCTTGAAATTATCCAGATTGGCTCTTCTTGTTCAGGGACAACTGGGAATGACAGGATGGGGATATTAGTGAGGGGAAGGGAACATATGCAGTTCCAAGACCTTGCCCACACCATGGGATGTGGGAATGAGTTCTGCACTAGCTGGTGGTGATGGAGGAGCTGAAACCCCTTCCTCCACACTGGGAAACCTGTTCTTGCATGCCACTTTCATGATGCCCTAAACCAGGGTACATGTCCCAAAGATGTAGAAAGCATTATATTCTTTGTTCTGTTCTCCACTTGTCTATTATTTGAATAGCAAATGTACTTATCTCCCGGAGTGCTGTGACTCACACAGTCCCTCCCGGAGCAAGATGCCAGTACAAACACAGAGAAAGGAGCTGGGATGTATTTAAGCTGAGTAATGTATGCTCAGAGCTGTTTCATCCTTGGATGCTGGAGCAGGCGGCTGATGAACCCTCTGAAGCAGGCAGAGTTACTGAGACGAGAAAGCATAAAATGTTCCCTGGGTTAAAAACAGGGAGAAAGGAAGGGCATGGGGACTATCCCCTCTGTCTGTTCTGGCAAATACTGCCACACAGCAACAGTTTAGGTAGCTGGAGACTCAATTCAGGAATGCACTCTTGATCTTGATCTAAAATATTCATATAGATGCATTAGAACCATTAGTCAAACATTTGATCCTGGAAAAAAAAAGCTGGAATAAATAATCAAGACATTTTGGTGACAACATAAAATAAATTAACAGTCAATAAAAATTTACAGAGAATGAGTCAAATCAATAGAACTTCAATCTACAAACCCAGACCTGTGACTAGGAGGAGATAGAGTAGATGCCCTCTATTATAAGCTCAGTGAAACTCTCAACAGCTTTCACATAAATAAACTACAGGACTGTGGTTTTCATAAAATTATTTAAATGTGGGGACAGGGCTGGTTGCTGTAGGAATGACTGCAGAAAACTTCCTTAAGGCACACACAGCCAGAGGCAAAGCCAGAGGGTTGGAAGTCTCTGGCTGTGCCCCAGCTCTTGCAGAAAAAAACCATAGGTCAAAGCAAGCCAGTGGATGAATTATGTCAATGTTGCGCAAGAAAAGGTAAATAATAGAGGTGTACAAAGGAGGAACGTGAAGCAGTAGTCCTGCTTCACTCCCTTGCAATATTCTGTTTAATTCTGAGCACTACATTATAAGCAGCCCGGAGGAGAGCAACAGTGATGATGGGAAGTCTGGAAGATCTTAACCAGAAGAGTGAACCCACGGGTCTGATCCTGAAAAGTCCAAGCTGAGACAGGGCCTGTTTTCAAATAGGCACATGCCTGCTGAATCTAATCTCCAGATGTGTTTTGGATAAGACAGGAATGAATGGACTTATATTACAGAAAAAAAGATTTAGTAAAGATTAGGAAAATCTTTGCTATCATACAAATCTCTCTATTGCTTGGACTGGTTATCCAGTTAACATCACTGATAGTCTTTAGAACTGGGTTACATACATGTCTATGAAAAAGGACAGAAGTATTTAAGATGCTTGTTTGAGGACTGTTTCAGCCTTGTGAGTGAAAGATTTGTTTTTGACATGAAGAGAAAAAAAAAATAATCAGTTTTAATTATTCACAGACCTGTAAAAATATTCCTACTAGCTGAACCCCATCTAGTATGGCGTCTAAGATATGTGCCAGATGCCCTAATGTAATTTATTTTCTCTGTACATGAAAGTTGAACCCAGACTCAGCTCCCTGCTTAAGATATTGCTAGACTGTGGGAAGAGAATTGAACTGTATTATGTAGCTGTATTATTGATAAATCATAACATTTTCACAATGTGGTGAACCAAATTACAGATAGTTTTAATTTCCTCACTGTGATCAAGAATGGGCTGTCCAGCCAGGTGGTGGGGTCAAGAAACCACTGGATATGGTACTTAGTGTCATGGTCCCATTGATGTGGTGGTGTTCAGTCAAAGTCTGGACTCAATAATCTTGGATGTTTTTTCCAGCTTGGTCTGTTCTGGGCACAGAAAACCCTAACAGAAGCATAGAGCTAAATGTATGGGAGCTTGAATATGGCAAAGGTTTAAAATACTGGAGTTAAAAAAAAAATAATTAAAAATAAGTACTTGGAAAGTGACCTGCAGGAATCACACTCCTCAGAACCTTACAGCTACAAATACCATCTTATCAAAAAATAGAGGCCTGAAAGGTGCTGCCTTGATCTGCAGAGTTGAAGAGCAAGCTCTCTATCTCTGCTGGGTCTCTTGGAACACCTCAGAAAGAACAAACGAGCCCCCAGTATGAATATTCTTCTTAAATGCCTGCCTACTGATAAATGTAATGGGAAAGTTTAGTTTGGCAGTGATAGATAAGGTCCTTCTGCTTTACAACACACCTTGAATAAACAGAGGACATCAGTCACCCACTTGTACGTTTTCACCATGGACCGACGGGACTGCGATCATGAGTCTCCAGGAGTGACTTTGTGACTTCTTCAACAGCCTCCACTTTCCACTTTCTAAACTATATTAAACGCCAAATTCCCCTGCAGCCTTATGTCAGCAGTGGATTACCTTATTTTGGCTATTCGGTTTCTATAAGACAGTTGGAATAGCAACTCCGTGTGTTGTTATGCTTTAATACATTTTTAGGAACTGGAAAAGAAGAGCAAGGAGAGCTTTCCAGCTCCCCTTCCCACCACGATGCTTCGTGTGGCTGGTCTGCCCTCTGCCGGGGCTGCTCAACAGGGAAGGCAATGAGGCTGGAGAAACCCCTGGAATTTGGGGACGGAAAAAAAGCACGGAATTGCCACGGTGCCAGGGCTCCGCCGAGCTCCCTTACAGCCACGTCCTGTGTGCCCGCAGGATATCAGCCACGTCCTGCGAACGTCTGCAAAGAGCTGCAGAACCACAGGATTATCATATAATTATTATTATTATTGTGACCTCTAGAGATCACCCTGTCCAAGCCCCCGCCCAGGCACGGCCGCCTGGAGCAGGTGACACAAGAGCGTGTCCCGGTGGGTCGGAATGTCCCCGCAGAGGGAGGCTCCAGGCCCTCCCTGGGCAGCTGTTCCAGGGCTCTGCCACCCTCAGTGTGCAGAAATTCTTCCTCCTGCTGAGCTGCTTGTGTTTAGTTTATGGCCAGTGCTCCTCGTCCTGTAACTGGAGAGTCTGGCACCATCTTCTTGGCAACCTTTGAGATATTTACATGCATTAATAAGATTCCCTCGCAATCTTCTCTAGACTAAAGATATACACACCGTAGAAGTCGGTCCGTCCGTCCATCCATCCATCTATCTATCCATCCTGCCGTGAAAGCAGGCACGAAGACCGGGCTTTGCGGGGCACCTTGTGCCAAAAGACCACCCTCTCCCCCCTAAAGACTGGATGTTTCCCCGAACCCCCCCCTCGAGCCCCCCACAAGGCGTGTCCCTCACTGCCCCCCGGCGTCTCCCCGCCGCTCTCCCCACACGCATGCACTGTAGAGTAGGACTACATTTCCCGGCATGCCGCAGGGGGCGATATGCGTGCGTGGCAGGGCGCGGCGCAAGAGGAGCAGAGCGGGACAGGGACACGACCATGTATGCGGGCGAGGGGCGGCCGCAGCCCCACCTGGCCGCGCTGGTGCTGGCGCGAGGCGGTAGCAAAGGGATCCCGCTGAAGAACATCAAGCTGCTGGCGGGGGTGCCACTCATCGGCTGGGTGCTGCGCGCCGCCATCGATGCCGGCGTCTTCCACAGGTGCGCATGCGTCGCCCCCCCTGTCCCTCCCCTTCCCCTGGCGGCTTCTGGTTCGGGATGGACGGGCCAGGGGACCCTGGCCCAGGGAGGGGTTGAGGGAAGCTGTCGCTTCGTCAAGAGGGTCTTAGGGATGACTGTCAGTGTCTGCAGGGAGGGCTCAGAGCAGGGACCAGGCTCTGCTCCGTGGGGCCCAGCAATGGGACAGAAGAAGCGTCAGGAACTAATGCCCAGGAAGTTCCATCTGGACAGGAGAAGGAGCTTCTTTACTGGAACAGGCTGCCGTGGGAGGGTGTGGAGTCTCCCTCGGTGGAGATACTCAAAAGCTGCCTGGATGGAATCCTGTGCATCCTGCTCCAGGTGACCCTGCTAGAGCAGGGAGGTGGGACCAGCTGACCTGCTGTGGTCCCTTCCAGCCTGACCCATGCTGTGACTCTGCCAGTGAGGCAGGATTGATCCTTACTTAAGACAAGGGGGTGCAGTCACTGTGGCACCAGATTAAGGGTCAGGCAGGGCAAGCACCCTGTCAAGAGCTCAGCTGTCCCTTCCTGCTGAGGGTGAGCAGCAGAGGAATGAAGAAATTGAAGTCTTACACAGTAAATTGAAATTAAAGTTTTTGTGATGGGTGGCCACTAGCTGGTGATGTTGTAAATATTGATGGGTTTAGTTCATTAAGACATCTTTATTAAATGGGACTGCCAGGCTGAAGGTGATCTCCTGTGAACTGCTGAAGCGCAGGATGACTTTGGTTCGTGGTCATCTGGGTAGTCAGGACAGTGTGCACTGAGCTTGGCATCTCCAAGGATGGAGACCCCACAGCCTTTCTGTTCCTTTCACTGAGCTTACCCAGAAAAATCTTATTTTCTCTCTACCTGCCCAGCTTTGAAATCACCTCCTTGCTGCGATGTCTCTTTCAGCATCTCCTGGCACATGTGTGCTCCCAGACCCAGTCATCATGCTGGCTCCTGCTGAGCTTGGTCCCATTTTCCTTTTTGGTATCGGGGAGCCCACAGCTGGACCCAGCACATCAGAAGCAGTCTCACTCAAATGTCAGGTTGCAGGGGATGGTCTTTTGTGCCCATGTGACACAGAAGAGAAGCTCAGTTTGTGGCCACGTGTCTGAAACTGGAAGCAATAATTAGAGCTAGATAGAAACGCATGTGTTGGTGGTGTTGAGAATAGAGCCATTACAGATTTTTCTGCAGGAACAAGACTGAGGATATTCTACACATTTGCTGGTAATTAAAGCCATGGTCAGGATGTGCTCGGTGTGTAGCACACTTAGGAGCAGGTTCCCTGTGCGAACCTGCTGCATAATGCTCAGAGCAAGTCAAGGAGAAAGGTAGCCCAGCTAGATCCAGAGCACTCTGTCATTATCTGGCCTGGAGAACCTTTCTTGCTGTATCTGGAAAGTAGAGGATGCAGCGCTATGTTTTATTTTTAATGAAGAAACAGACAAGAACACTTCTGGTTACTGAGGTTACTGATAATTTCTTAATGACTGTGACTCTGTATTGCTGAATGACCTGCTGTGGCTTCTGTTTGGCACCTGAATTTTCCCAACAGGAAGCCAGTCAGGGTTGTGCAGCCTGACTTTGAGGCATGGCAGGTGCAGTAGGTGGACATGCACCAGGTTTGCCTTGTCACCTTTGGAACAGCTGTGCACAGTACCTGTTACACAGCAAAACTGGTGGTTGAATGGCGAATGTGTATTTAAGTTCACCATCCCAAAGCAGTGTCTGGAAAACACCTCTTGTGTGTTTGTTCTCATGGGTGTGACCTGACGTTGCAGTCGCTGTCACATATATTTTTCTTTTGATGATCCCACAGATCCCATAATGTCTTTGGGGGAAGAAAAGTAACTGCAGCACCATTTCGTGTGGACAGTGCATTCAGAATGCCAGCTGTGAGAGGAAGGGTGACTTCTCATAGTTTTTGTTTTTACACCTCTCATGCTTTTTTGTCGCCACGATGACAGGAGTGGCTTCACATGTGTTCAGTGTTTGTCATCACATGATACTCAGAATTAGCCCTTCCTTTTTAAAATATTTATTTTCCCTGAATGATGGCAATCTTGCTTTACCAGTAGTGGAAGTTTTCTGTGCCAAAACACATAGAACTTGAACAGCTGGGAGTGTATGGAGCCCAATTAACACATTTTAACACGCAGCATAAGCTAATCTTTTAACTTTGTGGCAGTTTTACTTGTTGTAAACTAAACTCTTACATGATTCTGAATGCCACATCCAACGCATTCACAATTCATTGATTTGTTAACATGCCTAACAAATTCTTTGTGCTGACACTGGATTTTTCTGGTAACACTTCTAAGTTTTATGTTGCTTAAGTTTCCTGCATGGAATGCAACTCAAGCGTCAGGTTTTGCATTCTGTTTTTTTATCCCCATTGTTAAAAGCTGGTTGTTGGACTGACTGGGATAGTTTTATTAATACAAATACAATAACTAGTTCCTTTTATTGCAAGGTGTAGTACAGACATAAACAAGCTGAGTTTTATTCAGGTTAAATTACAACAGGCAAGTCAATAATGGTGGGATTTATTCTTTATATTAATTTCTGTCACTGTCTGCCAACAGCATATGGGTTTCCACAGACCATGATGAGATTGAGAAGGTTGCGAAGCAGTTTGGTGCTCAGGTCCATCGCAGAAGCCCTGAAGTCTCTCAAGACTCCTCAACTTCCCTGGAAGCCATCACAGAGTTTCTCAATCATCATCATGGTAAATCAGGGATGAAATATGCTGAGCTTTTATACTGTAGCCCCAGAGGGATAATGCACTTATTATTTAGAAAAATAAGTAAAGCATTGACTAAATAAAACCCAGAAAGATTCAGATTCTCCTTTTTTTTTTGTGTGTGTGTGTGTGGTACTTATACCACATTTTGCAGTTGTGTTACTAAAGATGTGAATTGTTTCATAAATGTCTCTTTGTTTTTCTTTAGAGGTTGATATTGTAGGAAATATTCAAGCAACATCTCCCTGTTTACATCCCAGTGACCTTATAAAAGTGGCAGATCTGATCCAGAAGGAGGGCTTTGATTCTGTCTTCTCTGTTGTGAGGAGGCATCAATTCAGATGGAGTGAGGTAAAGAAAGGAGGTAATATTTAGATGTTTCTGGTTACAGTTATACTTAACTTTTTTTTTTTTTTCAAATTCTTGCTTTTCATATCTATGCTGTTTTAGGAAGTGATGTCTGAGAGAAATTCCTTCCAAGCACTGGTGTCTTGATATTACTGAGCATTGTGCAGCCTTTCGGTAACTGTTTTGTAGAAATTAAAATTATATTAGCTTGTCTAGGCTGAAGATACAGTTCCAAAAAAACCTTTGCATGTTAACTTTTTCCTGGTGGGTATTCATGTGTACTCAGACATGACACTAAGGTCCTAACTAGAAAACTGTTCTTGCTATGCAGTAGCTGACAAATGACTAGTAATGTGAGATAAAATCTTGGTGAGGATGGGATGACAATCTCTTGGCCTGGAGACTTAGGTTTTGTTTCATCCTGATAATTTGGCTGCTGACGTATGTCATGTTGCAAAATGCCTTTGAATCATGAGGGCTAAACTCATGTTGGTTAGCACATCCAGAAAAATGTGACTGGTTTTTCCCAGAGAAAGTATGCCTCTTAGCTACAGTGGCCAAGATGATCAAAGTCTGAAATTTTACAAATAAAGATTGCAACTTGGTTTAGCTATAAACCAAGTTGTCCTGGTACAAAGAGCTATTCCACACATTTTGTGTGTTGGCTTTGTTTCTGTGGTTAAAGCAGAATTTTTTTTTTTCATTTTTTAAAAATGGTTATTTCAGGTACTCTCACACTGGAGTTTTGGTGTTTTTTTCTAGGTTTTTAAAAAATTAAAATTACTCAAGCATTACAGTTATTTTGTTGAGATATAAATTGCTTCAGATTAAATTTTTTTGTGAGTTTCAAAAGCATCATGCTGTAAAAGAGCATGTGTAATAAATGAGGCTTGATCTGAGAGATAAGTTGAAATAAAATTTAAGCCTTTGTTTAGAATAAACACTTGAATATTGTAATTGTTCCCCATAAGAGGAGAAATAAGTCATATGGTCGGGTCATTACCCTCAGGGCAGGAGCCCAGCATGGAATGCCGGCCGGCCAGGATAGCTCAGCAGGGGACTCAGGCAACCTAGGCAAGCTATAGTGATTTGCAGCTCTTAGTGATAATCAGCTCTTAGTGATTTCAGCTCGTAGCTTGCTAGGTGCCGCAGCAGCAGACGCAGGGGAGAGAGAGATGAGAAGCGCTGTATGGGTTCCGCAGGATTCTTTTATTTGGGTCTCCGCGAAGGGTCCAGTGACAGCTCTTCTGCCGAACCGGGAAGAATTAGGGGTTTTTATACCCTACAGGGGTTTTGAAAACTGTCCAATAGTAAGGGTCAGGGGAAAGTGACCTATGGATTTACAGGGAGATAAGCAGGGTCCGTAAGGCAGAAGAGAGGGGCTTCTAAAGCTCAGTCATGTTGACTCGGCATTTCCTAGCTCTCAGGCCTCTGATCGCCAAGGAGGCCGTGCAGGCCTTGTGCCTGCTACAAAGTCATGCTTTTTGTTTGTGCAGTATAAGAGGAGTATCAAAAGCATGGGGGGCAATTTCAGGATTCTGTGGATTCCAGTTTAGCAAGCCACATGCACATCTTCAGATGCTGGAAGGGACAAATGTGAAAGAATGAATCTCATGTGGATCTGCCATATGGCTTCCTGAAGTGGTTGCGTCCCATAGGCAGATTGTTAAATAAGAAAGCCTCGAGGCCTACCTAAAAAAAGAAGTAATTCTTCTGCACAAAATGACATCCAAACTTTTTTAAATGTGGTGAGAGATAAGGAATTATTCAGCTGCAAAGACTGAGGAGAGCTGGAAACACATTGTGCCAACATGAGCAGCTTAAGGCTAAATGCAAATGGCATTTCAGGTGTGTGGTATTTCAGGTGACAGTGATTCACAGCAGAATTATACAATGGTTTTTCTTCATTATATTTTTCCATCAGCTTTAGAGTACTGATTATGCTAAAATAATTTCATGGTTTGTTTTGGTTTTTTTTTGGTGTAGCTCTGTTGCTCCTTCTGCATTAAGGCTTAATATTGATAGACCCTGAAAGAGAAAGGTGTCTCTCTCTGACTGGAAATATTTACTTCAGTGAGTACAAAGCTTTAGCTGGTTATGAAACACCAGACGTGTGTATATCTACTAAAGCCTCAGGATGTTTTGGGTGTTTGAGAATGCCTTCTAACTTTCTCATGGTTACTGGATCATGACACCTGGTGAATTTTTACCTGCTTTGTACATCTGGATTGAAGTGGCTTAAGGACAAAAGTCTTTGGTCCTTGATTTGGTTTCTGCTACATATACAATTTTCATTGGTAATAATATGAAATCTTTTGGGATGGTGTTTGTGCAGACAGCTGTTTGTTTATTTGTGGACACTGATTAAAGCACTTATGAAGAGTTAATGCATAGCCTTAAATAAGATGTGTTTTGGGGAGGTCCCAAGATGTTTTCGCAGGCAAAAATTTTTCACATGTGCTCTTTTTTCACATTCTAGATTTCAGGCTGGTCCTTTCAGGTATCAGAGTGCATTCAGGCATTCCCATGTGCACTAGGAATTGTAGTACAGGAATAGTATTTCTTTCATGTTGGCAAGGACAGTCTGGTAGAACGTGCCTCCTACTCCTTGTGGGAACGAGTTTTGAAGCAAATAACTTCTTGTGTTTTTGTTGTTGTTTCTGTTTGGTTGGTTTGGTTTTTTTTCCTAAAGTGGTAATTAAAAGTTCCCTTTTTCACTGCTAGGCTTACAGAGTAGTCCTCCACTTTATGCACAATTCCAAGAAAGAGAGGCAATTCAGTGATTCCCTGGAGAAGTTGTGGATTCTGCATCCCTAGATGTGTTCCAGGCCAAGTTGAATGGGGTTCTGAGCAACCTGGAACAGTGAAAGGTGTCCCTGCCCATGGCAAGGGGTAGGAACTGGATCATCTTTAACGCCCCTTCCAACCCAAACCAGTCTGTGATTCATTATAAAGCTAAGCAGAAAGAGACAATAATGAGAGTAGTTGGTGACTGAATTATACCCTTAATTTTTCAACAGAAGGTTATTTAGGTTGTTAAGTGACTCTGAACAGGAATTATTTAAAGCTTTTTTTGTCATTTTTTTCCTCTGTTAACAGAAAACAAGATGACAGAACCCCAAAACCTGAATCCAGCAAAGCGGTACCGTAGGCAAGACTGGCCTGGGGAGCTCTATGAAAATGGCTCGTTTTATTTTGCCAAGAGGCATCTGATTGAGAAAGGCTACTTGCAGGTTAGTGCTTCTGGTTTTTTATGCTCTTCAGAATAATACATCTACTCTTGCTGTAGAGGGTTCTGAATTCAATACTCTGTTTTGATTTCTGATGCAGTTAGTGTGAAATAACAGCACTCTGACCTCAGAACAGTTTGCTAATTATTTATAACTTAGCAGGGCTAGTTATAGCTAGGGCAGTTCCAGTAAGATCATCCTCCATAGCAAATAAATTTATGCAAATAAATGTCTTACATAGCTTTAACCCTAAACCAATACAATACTGAGTTGAGTTTTGCAGGAGTTCATCAGTGTATCTTAGAATTCATTTTAGTGCCACTAAAGATGTGAAACTGAGCTTCATGCACTGTCAGAGCCTTGTCATAATCTGTAAATTTCTATGTTCAGCCAATTTCATCTTATGCCAATTTTTGTACTGTAACTTTAACAGTCTTTTCCCTTTCTTGATGTTTACATCCCAGTGTAGTGGTGCAGAACAACACTGGGGTGTGGTGGAATATATTTCCCTTGGAAATTAAGTAACAGTAAGAAAATAATAAAATAGTCTTCCTAAGCAAATGCTGAAGGTATTACTATTTTGCTGATTAAAAGAGCTAGTGAAATTAGTTTGATATAATTGCTGTAATGCATAACATCTTGCACACTTTCTCTAGTTGTAAAATGGAAATAATTATTAACTATTAACTATTCATAGTTATTAACTGTTCCTTCAAATGGTTCTGTGTCACTGGCAAAAACATAATTGATGGTTCATTTTTATATAAGCCATGGTGGCCACTGTGTAACCAGGCACTTGGCTTTCATTGCATGGTGCTAAATTGTAGAGTTTTGTATTTGTGTTGACCCAAGCATAAAATTTGAGTGGATTTTATTTCCTCCAGGGTGGTAAAATGGCCTACTATGAAATGCGTGCAGAGCACAGTGTGGATATTGATATAGACATTGACTGGCCTATTGCAGAGCAGAGAGTGTTGAGGTAAAAGCACTTTTTATTCCCTTATTTCGTTGATGCTGCTTGTTTCAAAGTGTGGTCATGTGAATTCATAACGCATAGAATGTAAGCAATGGAGATCAAAGATAATTGGGCAGCTTTATTTCTGCCCAGGATTTTTTCCTATCTCTGTTGAAATCAACGGAATTACCTTTGTTACATGGTGGCATTTTGGTAGTTTGATTTTTTACTTGAAGTTCAGCTTGGTGAAGAGTGTAAGCCTCAGCAATGTGTTAGCATCCTCTCTGGCTTTCCCAGCTGAGGTGTCCCAGATTTCCATGCTCCAGACCACTATAACTGATGCCCAGGAATGGGAATGTCTGTGTAGAGGGCATGAGCTGATTGTACCTCACCAGCTACCTTTTCTTTGCAGCTGTTCTAAGGAAATAATGGGTGGGAAGGGAGTATATTTTCTGTGCCTTTTTCATCCTAATTTTTAAATGGATGACATAAATGGGCTGTCTTTTGGATGGTTATGTTCATTTCTTTGAAGAAATAGTTGGAGAGTGATGATGATGAGAAAAAACATTAGAAAAGAAGAATTTCAAAGCTGGTTCTTCTGTCTGAAGGCTACAGTTGTATGGGAAATACTTGGGGTTTTGAACTGTGCAAAAACTTCCATCCTAAAAAGATAATTTCTTTGTCTAGCTTTGGATATTTTGGCAAAGAGCCGCTAAAAGAGGTGAAGCTCTTGGTTTGCAGTATTGATGGATGCCTGACCAATGGTCGCATTTATGTGACAGAAGATCACAAGGAAATGGTCTCCTATGATTACAGAGATATTGTAGGCATTGATCTGTTAAAGAAAAGAGGAATCCAGGTAAGTGCTGTTCTGAAGAGTGAGCCATCATACCTCACATAACCTGCACATTAAAAGATTCTAAACAATACATTCTTGCAGCATAGAAGTTGAAGTTTTTTCACAGTACTTGTGGTCAAGCAGCATAATATATTGGTTGGGACAAATGTTATCCTCAGAACCCTAAGAGGAAAATGAGTGTTTTGAGAAAGTTCTCAGTCACAGTAATTACAGCAACTTTCTGCATTTCACAGAATCAGAGAATCGCCTGGGTGGGATCATCTTGTTCCATCCCCCTGCCATGGGCAGGGACACCTTCTACTATCCCAGGTTGCCCCATCGAGCCTGGCCTTGGTTACTGCCAGGGATCCAGGAGCAGCCACAGCTGCTCTGGGCAACCTATGCCAGGGCCTCACCATCCTCACAGGGCACAATGTCTTCCTCATATCCAATCTAAACCTCCCCTCTGACACTTTGGAGCCATTCCCCCTTGTCCGGTCACTCCAGGCTCTTGTCAGTAGTCTTTCCCCGTCTTTCCTGTGGGCTCCTTTCAGGCACTGGAAGGCCACAATGAGGTCACCCCAGAGCCCACTCCTGTGAAATGGAGTAGATGTTTTGTCAGCAGTCCCTCAGCTTCATTTTCTAGGAAGCCAGAGGGGTAGGAAGCTTGTAATCACTGTTTTGTTGCCTGTGGGAGCCCATTTCCATACCTTCTTTGACTTGGAATGTTTAATTGAAAACCTCTAGGTCTTTGTGCTGCACTTTATTTCTAGTATATGTTGCTGTTACAATCCCGCCTTTTGCTCCTCTTCTCTTCATTCTGTACTTAAAATCAGTGTCAAGCATTTGTTTGTATTTAAAAGCAATTAGGGAAGATAAGCTTGTCTACATCTTTGACAGAAAACCTGAAGGGTTTGCATCTGAGATTTCTAAAAATCCTGCTACAATTATCTTCTAGTTTTAACTTACCTTGTGCACCATTCCTGAAATTTCAAATTTGGAATGAACTTCCAGAGATAAATGTGCTGTGCTGCTTTCATCTGTATAGTGTTGTTTTGATGCTCTGAAATGGTGCTATAAATAAAGTTATGTTATTAAGTAGAGGGGCCAAAGAAAAAACTTCATCTTCTACTTCAGCAAATATTTCAGAAATCTTTCTTGATCATTCTCTCATTCCACATTTTGACTTAATTAGATCATACTGCACTAGATAGTCACCATGCCACCATACTGTGATATTTAGTATTTTAATTAGTACATGTTGCATTTAAACAGACAAATGTAAATCATTTTTGAACATCAGGGAGGGCTGCAGAAAGGTATTTCACCTTCCTAAAGGAACCTCAAGACTCTGGTTTTGGCTGCTAATCACTTCTGCTCTGAGTTTTGAAAATTAATCATTCAGTGGATTTCCAGAGAGAGCTTCTACAAACAAAATTTGTGCTTTTTTTTTGTAATAGTAAATCAACTTGTATGTCATATTTCTTTGGTGTAGAACTTACTCTAATTTTATTTCAATAGGTTCGACTCATCTCTGACAGAGATTGTTCAAAAATACTGTCAGCCATGCAGCTGGGATGTGCAGCAAAAGTCAGCGTAACAAATAAACTACAGGTTCTGAAGGACTGGCAGGAGGACATGGGTTTGAGCTGGAAAGAGGTGGCTTACTTAGGTCAGTTCCTTTTCTTTTGGTTTATTTAATTTAAATAGCATAGACAAATAGAATCATGCTGCTGCTGAGCTTTAAACCACTTTTCTCTTTGTAAATACACTGAATTTAATGGGATTGCTGTGCACATTGCAACACACAATCATCAAAAGTGGGTATTTTATGGCCTGTTATGGTAAAATCTAAATGTTACAGACATTGATGAATCTGTGTAATTCGGTAAGGGAAGTCTTCACTGTTTTTCCAATGGGATATAGGAAAGCTTTTGATTTTAGGAAACATTTTGATATCAAAATATTGATAAGCATTCACTTAGAGCTGACAATTTTAAACTCATCCTAGTTCATTTCAGAGGGATATTGTATAGATTGTGTTCTGAAATGGTAATCAGAAATAGACAGAATTAGAACTGAAAGCCATGTGCTTCTGTGCTAAACTGTATTTCAGTGACAGGCTAAGTGAGGAGTCCTGCCAAACTTTATTCAGCTGCTCACATAATTTTACTGCTCTTAAAAGTAGCATTCTCTTGCCTGAAGATTGTGAAGTGTGATCATCATTTACATGTATCACCAAGATTTTCCAACACCTGACTTGATTGTGCAAAGTGCTGTTGAGCTGCTGAGATGAATATTGTGACAAAAAAAAATTTCAAAAATCAGATCAATGCATACCCAGAAAAACTGAGAAAAATACTGATTCTTTTCCTTCTGTGATATTTGGCCTTGTCTGTCATCTTCCTCCCTAGGAAATGAGGAGTCTGACATGGAGTGTCTGAAGCAGGCAGGCATGAGTGGTGTGCCTGCTGATGCCTGTGCCGCTGCTCAGAAGGCTGCTGGTTACATCTGTAAGAGCAGAGGTGGCTGTGGAGCTGTGCGGGAGTTTGCAGAACACCTATTCCTGCTCTTAGAGAAAGTGAACTCTGCAAGGAAGCAGTTGGAAGAAATCAGCTCAGCAGAAAAGGAAATGGGGAGAAATGAGAGCTGCAGGAAAGGAAATAAGGAATTGATGGAAAAAGAGTAACGCCATTGGTCAGCCCTCCTTTTCTTCCTCAGTACATCCATATCCCAAAGGAATGCTTACCTTTCAAATTTTACAGCACAGTAGAGTTAAAAAGGTGTCTCCCCCTAATTCCAGGTCCCACATTCATGATTGTATGCTGAAAATATGATCATATCCATGATGATTTTAAAAGCCATTTAAGTGCAATGGGAGGAATGCTACAAAAGAGAGTACCCTGTAAATCTGCTCTTAATCATCACACCTGTCCTACAGGAATGATGCTTCTCTATTTCATAATCTGAATGTTTTCAGGGATCAATGATTTTGTATGACTTGAAGATTTGTAATTTGGGCTTAAAAACCCCAAAACTTCTGTCAGTTTTTCTCAGGTGGTTTGCATTTCCTTTATCAAATGCATGGTATTGTGGTTGTGTGATTGCATTTTACAAGCTTTGTCCTTAGCAAGGAAGAGTTTTAACATATGTTGGAGAGGTCAGGTGTAAAATACTTATCAATAAAACTTCCTCCTCTATTTTGAAAATACAACACAGTTGCTCTAAAACAAGTTAATACTCGTTTAAAAAAGCACTTTAACATGTGTTCAGTTTGAAGCTCATAAATAATTAAATCACATTTGGAATTGTCGATCCTGGAATCTGTTTATTTTTGATTTTATTGAAGTGCCTAAATTAATGTTTTGCCAAATTTGGAGTTAAATTTCCCATTGTCTTTGAGATCATTGCAGAAACTCACTTTCTTTCTATGAAGACTGTATTGCAACCTCAAAAGAGTTAAAGCCAAATAAAAGCCTTTAAGTTTATTGTATGGAAAAGTAGCTGCTGTTAAAAAAAACGAAACAAAACTATAGTTCATGTGGGTTTATATAAAATATATATATACAGACTACTTTTAGCATGTTAAAACTGGTTTACATGCTTGTATTTATTGAAAATAGGATTTGTAATGTACATTACAAATACAATAGTATATATCAGAGTTAAGTTCTGGTTTGGGTTATGCTAAAAAATAAAAATACCCATGGTACACTGGCAGTTACAAGTAAGGTGAATGATAATGGCTTGTATATTTTATTTTGTTTCTCTGCTAAATATTGCATTGTATAAATAGTTATACTCCCAGTATATCACCTGGTATAGTGGCCTCTGATAAACTTTGTGTTTACTTCCTTTCACAAAGCAAGATGTTGAACTGAAATTATTTACTGCCTATCTACAGTTAACAGATAAATTGTTTATTGTAGTAACCAGCTCTAAGTCACCTAAATTTACGTGTCTCAGTTACATTTTAAGGTTCTGTGCTGGATACATCCCATGGACTTTGACAAAGAGGAGAGCCATATTTTGGACATCAGTGTTTTCACCTTGATGAATTCTTGTTTAGAAGAACATGGTATAATCTTACATTGGAAAGAATATGAAGGATAAAAGAGCTCTAGAGACTTTACCAAAAAAAGATATGGGATATGCAGGGTCTGCTTCCTGAAAGGTTCAGATTTGTATTGCCCACACTGTAGTGGAAAGTCTAATTATAGGGTAGGAAGAGGGATGCCTTAATTACTTTTGATTTTATAGAAGAGCCTCAATCATATGAAGGATTTAGGGGTCAGAGAGGCAGAGACAGTGAGGGTAACTGTGTCACCTTAGAGGTGAAATCCCAAGTCCCAGGAAAGTTTAAATGTGTTGAATATTTTTCCAAGGCCTATTCCAGTACATGTGACACCACATTGCCTTTCATTAGAGGGGTATTACTCATTCAGAGTAGATTTCAATGGTCAGTTTTGTTAGTCTGGGGTAATTTTGAGATCATCTTTTGGCCATGTGAGCTTTTGGTTTTTTTGCTTCAATTAACCTAGGGTATTTCAAAGAAGATCTTAGGTAATGTGGGCTGTTCTGTCATGATTATGTGAAATGGAAAAACAGGAAACTATGTAAATATTTGTAATAAGCTGTTAGGAAAAAGTAGCTGATTACTTCAAATTTTAAATAAACAGCTTTCTTTAGTCTTTTAAGTAGAGAACAGTTATGGGCTGACTTGTGGTGAGTTTCGGTACTCCAAATCATACTCACAAGTTCATGCGCCACACAAATAATTTGTGATGGCAAAGGTGGACAGATTTAATGCCCAAATTAATTCTTCACACCTTCACCCACTTCTGACTCTCATTCTTTATTTTTATCTGCTTTTTCTCCTATTCAGTTTATCTTCCTCTCCAGTTCCTGTTCAGTGATGCAACAAGTTCTGACCTTAAGTTATTTCAAATCAATATGAATCACATATATCTCAGCCTTTTGAAGTCAGAGATATGTTTTAATACTTGCTGATTTCAAGTGTCTAAGACTTTTAAACCTTGATCACACATTTTAGGTTACTAGTTTTTCCAGAGCCTATGTGGGGGAAGGATTTTGATTTTAATTTTTTTTTCTGTTAGTCTGGTCTTAAAACACTACTTACTTTTTGCAGCAATAAGTCTAAATTAGTCTAATTCCACCCAGCAGGACCAATCATCCTAATTGTTATCTAATTGCTCTTGTTAATTACAAGAGCAGTAATGCTGTACAGAAGAAAAACACCATTATGTGTGAACCTGATGCATAAAGGGGTTAGAAAATCTTACCAGTAATACACTTGTCTGAAAAAATCTTTGGATGGTGGGTTTGTTTTTCTCTCTGTTGTTCTGGGACAGGTTGGTGTATCCCCCTTTTCTGATTCAAGATATGTTTATGGATGTGGCTCTGGTTTAATAGAGCATTCCCCCTTCTGTGGGGGAGGCATGAAAGAGAATGAGCAGTGAGCAATATGAAGGTAATGGTACCAAATTATTCAGGCTAGTAAAGAGAGGGTCTGGTGAAACTGAGGAGGTGTATATATAAAATAAGCTGAGCTAAACTGAAAAACAATCCTAACATAAGTGTTAAAATATCCATTTTCACAGAGCAATTATAATTAAAAAATATATCTAGTGGTTTGAAGTGTGTGCTAGCAGTTGAAAAAGGAGAAATTTTTAGAAAGAATATTTAACAAGTTAAAAATAATTAATCCATTGTATAATTCAGTGGTTTGTGAGTATCTTGAATACTGCATGTTTTGTTTATTTTGTGTTGAAAAGGCTGTAGCATTCCAAAGGGAATAAATGTGGAGGATAAATTGGATGATGTAAGACAGGAATCATGTTCAGTTGCAGCAGTAGCCAAACCAGATTTCTTCACTTTGGAAGGAGCATTCTCCACTTTGGATTGAAGGGAGTTGTGTTAAAATATTTGTAAAATTAAGGATGGGAAGCCATGGAAAGGCCACTGAAGAAGCTAGCAGTGACCAAAGTCAAGTGTCTGAGGAATATAAATTTATCATGTTGCATTTAGTGGTGCTTTCCAGTTTTCCTGTGGCCTCAGCACATTTGCAGCTCGTGGATTTCCAAAGCTGGACATGGGTTACAGACATTTAATGAACCTTAGAATACTTAAAACAGGCTTGGGCCATGTGTTTCATGAATCTGACACTTTAGATACAGTTCTGGTTCTGAACCTTGGATTCTTCCTCCTGTTTCTTGTGTAAGAAATACCCAACTGTATTTTATTTTTATTTCACAATGTATGTTAGTGGTTCATTCCACGTCAGTGTGTAGCTCTGACACAGTGAGCAGAAGGACATGACATTACTATTATCAATAGGAGTAATCTAATCTTTAAAAATTAAGGAAAATAGGGCAAAAGTACATGCAGAATTATGTAAGAGTACAGGTACCTTGGATGAATCAATGGTCATTATTATCTGTAGTCAGAGATACTGTAAATTGCTGTGAAAGTTCTTGGCCAAAAAGTACTCGGGTTTGGAGAACATTCTGGAACATGCCACATTTTTCCTGATTGTTCACATATTTTGCTGACAAGTTTCTGGCCTAAATTGAAATATATCTGGACTAGATGTGGCTATCTTGTATTAAACATGGAAATAGTCTCTCAAGGGGTGTAACTTTTAACTGAAGGTATAGTTGCACACCTCTTTATGGCTAGTACAGTAGGTACAGTAGCCTGTTTATGGCTAGTACAGTAGTAGTAATCCATGTAGGATTTGTTTTTACTGTCCCACCTTTTCTTTCCTGGTTGCACTTTGTCCACAGCAATTCAGACTCAAGTTGGAAGGGGATTGGTCACCACCCGCTGATCTTTCTGAACAGCGAGGCCCAGCAGAAGTGTTTCTATTCAGGTAAAGCTTAGTCTAAAAAGCTTGAAAATGGGATGAAGTACCACAGAATCACAGAATAAGCTGAGTTAGAAGGGACCCCTCAGGATCAGGAGTGCAGCTCCTGGCCGTGCACAGACCCCCGAACAATCCCACCCTGTGCATCCCTGAGAGCGCTGTCCAAATGCTTCTGGACCTCTGGCAGCCTTAGGGTCATGACCATCTCTGGGGAGCCCGTTCAGTGCCCCAGCACCCTCTGGGGGAAGAACCTTTTCTGATATCCACCCTAACCCTCCCCTGACACAGCTCCAGCCATTCCCTTGGGTCCTGTCCCTGGTCACACAGAGCAGAGATCAGGGCCTGCCCCTCCTCTTCCTTCACGAGGGTCCTGTAACTGCAGTGAGGTCTCCCCTTAGTCTCCTCCAGCCAAACAGACCCAAGTGGCCTCAGCTTCTCCTCATTCCCCTCATGGCCCTTTACCCAATTTAGACAAATATAAAACACTCCCATTCATGTCACTTAATGAACTTTAAGTTTTCCTGAATATATTTATCATGATCTACCTTTGGATCAATTCCATTCTCTGAATGTTGCCTCTTAAAGGACCTTAAGGGGCTACACTTATCTCTGCCTGGAGTCTGAACAGATTTTATGGGCAGTAATTCTGATAACTCACAGACAGGCCCTGGTCTTGGCTTGCCACATCGGTATATCAACACTTGGAGCACTTTGTTCAAACAAAACACATATTTGATTTATTATGGAAGTCAAGAGGTTTTAAGGGGATTTTGGGGTAAACTTGCAGGCAGTGCTGGCAATGTGGAGAGCAAACTGGACCACTGCCCTGCAGTGCCTCTGTACTGCTGCCCCTGCTGAGCAGCAAGGGAGCTTGGGCTACTCCAGCCAGGCTGCTGTCATTGGTGTCAGAGCTTGGATAGCACAGACATACATGGCCTAGCTTTGATTAAGCCCTGCTGAACCTTTTTTTTTTTTTTTGGTTAATTTTAATCTATGTAAATCTTTTATTTAGTCAGTAGGCCATGCTGTAAACTGATCCATTCCTCATCCCCCTGAAGCAGCTAGGGAGCTAATTGAACTTTGAGCAGCACACTGTTACCTCCCTCACTGATAGGTAGGTTTAAGTAGTTTACTAAGCTTACTTTGGTCCACAAGGCAAGTCCTCATCCTGTCCCTTCACACACAGTTCCATGTTGTAAGTAGGATGTGATATAAACAATCCTATTTGTGTGTGCATACATGTGGTGCAAATGCTGCTCTTACAGCAGTCTTAGTGCAGCTAAACTCACTTGCAAACCTCATTTCCCCAAGGACCCTCTGGCTTTTTTCCCATACTCAAAGGGCCAGAAAAAAATAAGTCTCTAAGTAAAATGTTCAGTGATTTTCATTAGCTGATTTCTTGCCACTTATTAATAGTGGAAGAATGACACCTCAAAGGAGGGCAACAGTGGCATTTTGGGGGAAGAGTGAGTGATATAATGTCAGAAGAGCAAAGTAACACATCAAATGGTTATTTGTATAGAGCAGGACATCATCTCCCTCAGGTTGTGTTGAAATGGTAAATGGCAAAGGACTGCACACAGGCTTTTCTCCCACTCTCAGCACCATAACTTCTGTGTCTTTGTGCAGGTGCAAAATCAGTAGGTGTTGATGCCAGCTTACACAAAGCAGGCATGAAATGAAATGGCTGCCTGGCAATTGTGAAGTGTATGGCTAGAGGGAGATGAGTGTTGATGAAACCAGGTTGTTTCTGTACCTCAGAAAAAACACAGAAGAGGAGCTTCTCTCACACACAGGATCTGTGTTCTGCCTTGGAACTGTGTGGT